AAGTACTGGACAAGTACTGGATAAGTACTGGACAAGTACTGGATAAGTACTGGACAAGTACTGGATAAGTACTGGACAAGTACTGGATAAGTACTGGACAAGTACTGGATAAGTACTGGACAAGTACTGGATAAGAACCATTTTCCATCAGGACCCGTCATAAAAACTGATCACTGATTTGTTCCGTCCTTTGTTTTGATAATTATTTAAATATTACATTAAATAAATAATAAATAAATATTGATAATAACCAACAACTTGGTGCCATCGTCGTTTCTCAGATTCAGTCAAGAGCAAAAAATTAAAATGTTCAGAACTCAACGAGTTCTGATTTAAATAAAAACTTCTAAAGCAGAAAATATAATTTATAAAAAAGTTCTGTGTCATTTTAAAAACACGTTTTTCAACTAATCTGATTATTTCTAACGTGATATTTTCATAAATGTTATGAGATATTTCTGCCTAAAGCAGACTTTATGATTCTATTCGTGAAGCCCAGAACTTTGGGCCCGTGGACTCGCCGCGGGGCGACTCGCTGCTGGGCGACTCGCCGCGGGGGCGACTCGCAGCAGCCGAAGACACCCGTCCTCGGCTGTTTTCAGTCCGATGGGCGACGAAGACGAGCTCCTGCCTCCAGGAGACGCTGCAGCGTCAGGAACGAACTGATGAAGCTCTTTTCGCTCATGATGGAGTCTGGAGTGAACCAGAACCAGAACCAGACTCTGTCTGCTCCATGGAGCTGCAGGGATGGACCCCGGTCTGGAGTCCAGAACATGAGCTCCACCAGACCCAACAAAGCTGCTGCTCAGAAACCAAGAGTTCATTTAAACAGTCACTCATGAAACTTTATGAACCAGGACTCGATGTTTCAAACCAGTTTGAAACTCTGACCTCACCTGAACGGACAGAAGGAACTTCCTGTCTGAGTGGAGGAAGCGTGAACAGAACCATCAGATCTGAGGACAGAAGAGTGTTTGGACTTAAGAGACGAGCTAACAACGTCCTCCTGCTGATCGTTTCAGAAAGTTTCTCAAACTCCCTGAACCCTTCGGCTCAGTCAGACCTTCACTGCAAATCAGCTGAAGTTACTTCAGCTCATAAATAGTTTTCAGAAGCTAAAAATATCTAAATATTAGCTAAAACCTAAAAGTAGAACGAGGCCAGCTAAGAAGAATATTGATAGCTAAAGGCTAAGGTAGCAAAAGGCTAGTTAAAAGCTAAAAGTAGCAATATTGGAAACTATGTAAATATATATACTATACTATAATATGGAACTAAAATTACAATAGGTTAGCTAAAAACTCAATGTAGCAAAATGCTAGCTATAACTCAAATTACAAAAGGCTTGCTAAATGACAAAAAATAGCTAACAAGAAGCTAAAAATAACAATGCCTGCTAAAAGCAAAAGCAAGCAAAAAGTTAGCTAAAGGCCAAAAGAAGCAAAAGGATACATAAAAGCTAAAAGTACAAAAGTTTTACCTAAAAACAGCAAAATGTTAGCTAAAACCTAAAAGTAGCAACAGGATTGCTAATATAGAAAAGGCTAGCTAGAAGTTAAAAGTAAAATAAGACTGGCTAAAAGCTAAAAATAGCTAAACTGTAGCTAAAAATATAAGCTTTAGCTTAGGTTTTGGCTTTAGCAGAAGGTTAGCTAAAGGCAAAAAGTAGAATATGTCTAAAAATAGTAAAACAGGCTAAAGGCTAAAAGTAGCAAAAGACAGCAGTGACTATAATAAGTAAAACAACAGCTAAGGGCCAAAAGTAGCTAAATGAAACCCTAATAATAAAATAAAACCCTCAGTGAGCAACAAGCTTGCTAATATATTAAAAGCTAGCTAGAAGATAAAAGTAACATTAGGCCAACTAAAAACAAAACAAAGCAAAAAATCAGCTAAAGAACAAAAGTAGCTAAAGATACTTAAAAGCTAATAACAAAGCTGTACCTAAAAAGTGCAAAAAGTTTACTAAAATGTAAAAGTAGCAAAAGGCTAGCTGAAATATAAAAACTATATCTAGAAGCTAAAGTGTCATAAGGCTGGCTAAAAGATTAGTTAACAGCAAACACTAGAAAACAAGACGGGCTGAAAGTAACAGAACAGTAGCTAAAGCCTAGCAGGAGGCTAAAGGTAGACGAGCAGCAGATAAAAGTAAAATAAAGAAGTTTACAAGATCCTGTCAAAGGAAAACGGTTCTGCGCTGACTCAGCAGTGACTAAGCTAAAAACTAACAAAAAAGTTTTGTTAATAAAACGCTCTGCATTATTAATTAACTTTAGGGAATTAAAACATCACGCTACGCTTTGACCTTGAACTCTGACCTTCAGAGAAATCTCAGCTGTGGATATTTTGAGACCAAGAACTAGAAACTGTTTTGAATCCAGAACCATCCGGAGGTATTTTGGTGTTTTTTTCTCCACCCATGTTGGGTGAGGCAGGTGGAGGGAGGGGTGGGGGGGACGATTCAGTGGTTCAAAACTCCTGGAATTAATTAAACCAGTTTGTAAAAGATGCAGTTTGGCTGTTTCCAGCAGACAGCCTCAGACAGGCGGGTGGGTGTGGCTTTGTGCAGCAGGGGGCGTGGCTTCAGTTTTACGTGTTTCTGTTTATCCCTGAGTTTCATTTCTGAGTTTTCAGTGGAGGGGAGTTCATCCAAGTTCACGGCTGAGAAACAGATCCGCAGTGTTACTCACACACACACACACACACACACACACACACACACACACACACA